AAGATCATAGGGGAAATCAGAACCCCAGCTATCTAACCAGTTCATTTCCACACGATCAGCCGTCTCGTCGCACACTGCCGGGGCCCTGCCCCCAGTTCCACCTCACCCGGTCCTGATGTTGAGACAAGGGCAGCCAGGTTCCTCGGCGGTGGTTTTGCAGGGATGTCCTATGGCATTAGGCTCCCGTATTTCTTGACAAAATCCTTGATTTTGAGAACAAGCCATCTGAATCCTTGCCTTGCTTTCACTGCCGACTAGGATGGAAATGTTGGGAGCTGGCTTTCCTCTTCCAGAAAATGAGTATCGTCTTCCAGAGCAAATGCGCTTCTGCCTTGTGCCTGCTAAAAGGATGAGACTCTGCCGCCCTCATGGCATCATGAAGTCGTGTGAGTCTCATGAAGAATCAGGAGAGCCCGTCACATGAGTCCATCCGGGATGGGAATCTGCCACCAAGAGCACGTATCAGCTTAAGAGCTTTTAATGGGAACTGTAGGGTTGAAGTGTCCCTTCCAGCTCTGTGCGATTCATCCCAGAGAAGAGAATTGCCAACAAGCCGGGTCGTGTAGACAGTGTATACACGTGGTACTCACCCGGCAGAAGCAAGGATACAGTGTTCACTTCATTCTTTCATCTGAGTGCAACGTGTGTTGCTATAATTGAATTAAGTGTTCATACGCTTCTGCCTGTAAACAACAGGAATTTATTTCTCACAGCCCTGGAGGCTTTAAGTCCAAGATCAAGGTGCTGGCAGACTTGGTTCCTGGTGAGAGCACTCTTCCTGCCTTGGGGGTGGAGGAGGGAGAGAGAGAGAGAGAACTATCAGAGCACTAATGACTCCATCTAAACCTAATTACCTCCCAAAGGCCCCATCTCCAAATATCATTGCATCCGGGGTTAGGACTTCAACACATGAATTTGAGGGGGGGGGACACAGTTCAGTCCATAGCACAGCCTGGATGGTACCTTTGTGAAGGCCCCCCATTCATTCATTTAACAGAGGTTTGTTGGGAGCCTGCTCTCCAAGGCAGAGCGGTAGATGCTCAGGACACAGCAACGCAGAGCAGACCCTGTCCCCACCCTCACACAGCTCAGGATTTACTAAAATAAAAATTTTAAAAATTATAGAAAATTTTAAATAGACATGGTTATAGGAGACACAAAGGTACATAAACCAGGCAGGCTTCCCAAAGGACGTGCCATCAGAGCTGAGAGCCGTGAGTCGGGTGGACAGGGAGGAGACCTTCCTAAGCCAGAGCAGAGGCCCCAAGTGGGAGAAAGAACTGAAACTGTGTGTCTAGAGCTTCTCAGAACAATGAATTGTGTCTCCCGCTGTCTGAGAACTTGCCCAAGTGATCTTTTTACCCAAAGGGGAGCTTGCTGCTGGGTGCAGTCATCAGAGAGCAGAGCAGCGAGTGTTGGCTCTGTGGCCAGGGCTGGCCAGCCTCTGGGGGCGAGGGAGCCGGCGGACTGGAGGTCGGGGGGGGATCTTTGCAGTTTTGCATCATCACACACCTTCCCTCCAACTTAAGGCCAAATAAGAACCATGTTTGTCATTTATGAAACTCTAAGTGAGAATGTCCTTAAGATAGAACATTTCATCAGCAATCCCAAGAAAATAGAAATAAATACAGTAAAATAAAATGGAAATCCATTAATAAGTTCTGCTTCTTGCTGAATGACTTGTTTCTGGCAGGTGGCCATTTCCTAAGGGAAACTTTTTATCCACTGCTTTGCTTTAAATGCTCTCTAATCGGGTCTGTGTCCTGTCTTCTGCTACTTTAGCTTTAGAACACAAACCCTCTTCTCTAAAAACATGTGCTTACCATTTGCAACGTTGTGTCCTGTGAACTCTCCGGAAGTTAGCTACTGAGATCAGTTGCTGGTGAAAATGCATAATATAACTGTATCTGCTGAGCCCCTATTTAATGACATGGGTTTGTATGTCATTCTCCCTTTCACCGCTATCTTTTCATCTTTATTTTTTCTCTTTTATTCACTCCTTCTTTTGAATAGAGGGCACAGTTTTGCCCTCAACATCCTGTTTCATCACATTGTCTGAGAGCCTAACGCACAGCGGGTGCCCAGAGAAGAAATGATGATGCCAAGAATGATATCTGACATCTTCTCGTGGGCCGGTTGCATGATTGAGTCTCACCTGCAGGGTTAGTGTCCCTGCTGCACCGCCCAGTGGGGGTCAGCAGCCGCCGGTGGTGCCCCGATGTGTGAGCGCCGCCTTCCTGCATTGTCATCTCTCAGTCTATGCGCTCACCCCCCAAGTTAGGCTAAGAGCCGTGTCCCTTTCATCACTGTCTCCCTAATGCCCAGCACTGCCCCTGACCAGGACCACAGGTGACTCCCTGAAAGACAGGGAGGAAGTGACGGGATGGGGGTGGGGACAAGAGAAGTAAAGGGGCAAAAAAGAGGTAGCCTCGCATTCCGTATTCTCTCTGACATTAGCAGAGGCGCAGTGTTGTGCTGGGATTAAGGGAAAAGGGAGCATGGGGTGGGGGCTGGGGCTTTGACCTAGAAAGGTTAAAATGTAGGGTTCCAGGGGGCTGCAGGCTTCCCACAGGTCATTCAATGAACCTTCTCTTCCAGGGTGTGGGACACAGCGTGGTGGGACTCCATGACAGTGGACTTGCTCGCCTGGTTCCTGGCTGAGCTAGACTTGGCGTGAATTGTTTTCAAGCAGTTTCTAGTGGGTCAACCCAAGTCTAGCAAACACAGAGTCATTCCAGAGCCTTACAGGAAGGGCAAGTTTAAAAGGACCCTTCTGGCTGCATGCTCTCTGTCGATGCCACTTTCCAGAGCAGCGGTCACTGTCGTCACCAGCAGCCTCGGGCCTGGCCAGGTCCTCCCCCAGTGTCCCTGCCCTGGCCCGGCGAGCAGCTGCGGGCGGGAGGATTCCCTCCACACAGTGATGACATTCAGCTAAGCCACAGTTTCCTTGACTCAGGAGGAAACCCGTGTGGTTTGGGGTTGGGGGGGCGAGGAGGAGCGAAGTGCAGATATTTTCTCATTGTGCGGTGGCTTTAAATTGCAACCTCTCTTTACATTTTCCATGATGCACCAAACACATCTGTGCCAGCAGGGGACAAATGTACTCCATCTGGAAGATGGTCCAGACGGCTATAAATTAGGGTTTGTGTACAGAGATGCCAAAAATGTGGCCGCGGGCTAGGGTGTCCCTGGGACCAGTCGCCTCCTCCGCAGTCTGTGTGGTGGCTGCAGGCCTTGGCCTGACGCCTCTGTCAATAGGCTTCGCCTTGTACTTGGAAACTGTCTTTCCATCCAGTCGCCACAGAGGCTGGCGGGCAGGGGTGCCCCTGAGGCTCCGCCGGGCCCAGCCGTCCAGTCCCTCCTAGGATGAGGCTTCCCCCGGGGGCATCCCTGTCCTTCCTGCGCCTGGATCAGCGATGACCTTGAAACTAAAGCTCGACCCAAGAAAACTCTCCCCACTGTCTTGATTGAACAAACTACCATATGCTTTTAAAAAAAATTTTTTTTAAACCTTTTAAGAGTACTGTGTGCTTAATGCAGAAAACTTAGAAAATATTGTGAAAAGGAAAAGTCACCCGCAATCCACCCCTAAAGATAAATATTGCTAATGCTCTAGCATGGCTTCTTTCGATATTTCGCCATGCCATGCTGCCCTGTTTTTAAAACCAAAAGTCTTTTAAAGCTGGTTGAGCCCAGTTCCCTCGGCCATCCCTCGAATTATCCAATTAGTGCTTCCTCAAGTACTGGAAACTCTTAGTTATTCCACATCAGAGACTCCGGCTGGTAGCCCTGCCCTCTAACTCCCTGGCTGAAGTCGCGCGGCCTTCTGAAGGACCGGGCCCCTGAGGGGACAGGCCTGGAGGCGACAGGGGCTAGAGGGTGAAGTCCTCGGATAAACCCAGCCAGAGAGCCGCAGAGGGTAGGGCCGGGCCTTGCAGACAGCCCCACAGAGAGAAGGACCTGTGTTCAAAGGCTCTGCCAGCCCCTGGCCTGGATGTTATTTTTCCATATGAAACCTCTGCCTCCCTGACGTCCGTCCGTCTGTCTCCCGTCGAGGCAGGGACAGCCTCTACCCTGTCATCTGGTGGTGGGCAGGGAAGCCCAACACTGACTGAGGGGCTGGCAGAACTGGGGGGCTGTTTTTACATCTCTGCTCCCTTTCCCCTTGTGCCTGGTGCCCAAAGGTGCCCAGTGCACATCTATGGATAGATGGATCCATGGGGTGGAACCGGAGAGGGGTGTTTGCGGACGGAGAGGATGCTGGGGCTGAGCCTGCTGGTGGGCCGCTGCGACAGGCCTGCGGTGCAGGAGAGGGCTCCCCGCCGCAGTGCAGGGCCTCACAAAGCCCCGAGTGGCCGCGGGAGGCAGGCGATGATTCTACCAGCTGCCAGCCTGCCCATGCCCAGCTGCTGCCCGCGCCAGCCACTCAGCCTCTCCGTGAGCCGCACGGCACACAGACCATGCTTTTTCAGAAAATTATTTTTTCCTTTCTCACTTTCCATGGAAACTCAAAATAGCAACCAAAAAAAAAAACAAAAAACGGTCAAGCTCCCTCCCTGCCTGCAGCGCAGTGACCGAGGCCCCAGGGGAGGGGGGAGGGAGGACGGCTCGATGCCTGGGAAACGGCTCCCTGGGCGTAGCTGAGGCGTGGGCAGGTCTGAGGTGGGTGTGTTTGCCTCCAGTTCAGAGCAGCAGTTCCCCCAGGTCTCGGAGTTCATCTTGCTTTTGGCGACCCAGCGTCTGAAACACAGTCCCCTCTCACTGAGGTTGTCGGTCAGGAGTCCAGAGTGCCCATAAGGGGCAGCAGGGCAGGGCACCGATGCCTTCCAGGGGCCGGTTCTGGAAAGTTCTTGTTAAGCTACCTCCAGGTTGCACAGTGTGGGGCATGCCCCATAAGCCCAGGGCAGCCGCAGGATGGGAAAAACTCCAGTTCTAGGGTCACATCAGGGATCCCGGGGGCTCTGAGCACTTCACGTCACCTCCCCTGTGAACCGTGAAGGATGTGGCCTTCCAGCCCCCAGCATCCTGGCCACTGCTTGCTCCTGGGGTGCACACACTCCCCTTCTCTTCTTTGTAAAGCTCTCTCGCTCTCGTTTGCTTTTCAGCTGGCGGGGTCGGCTGTCATTGCCTTTGGACTATGGTTTCGTTTCGGAGGTACCACGATGGATTTCTCATCAGGGGACAAGTCCCCAGAGTGGGACTTCTATGTGGGTGAGTGATGTCGGCTTCCCTAAGCTGTGGCCAGGGCTGCCCCAGAGGCCTAAGGCACCTGTCCCTGGACTCCTGGGGGCGGGAAGGGATGGAGGGAAAGGAGGGGGGAGAAACCTGGCCCTGAAGACTCCACCTGGCCCTGTGGCGGGGAATGCGGCCTAGGTGGAGAGGGCCCCTCACATGGTCCGTCCCTCTGGTCTCCAAAACCAAGGAAGACCAGGCCCATGGAGCTTCTTTCAGCCACTTCAAGGAAAACAGCGCAAAATGTAACTGCAGTTTGTTCCAAAGAATCAGCAACTCCCTCTGCTCTGGGTCAAGTGGGGCATCCACAGTCCACTACCCACTCGTCCACCTGGGGCAGCGGGGCCTGCAGTCAGGGGTTTGTTTTGTGGTCTTGTATTTTAAATTGTCTACGAGAGAAACAGAATTCAAAAGGAGGAAGCCACCTCAGAGTTTAGAGGTGCTAATGTGAGTCCCTCGGGGGCTGCAGAGAACTGGGAGGGAGGGCAGGGGAGA